CATTTCTTTTCCATCATTTGGGGACAAAGAAAAATCAGAGATATCAACAGATCAAGAGACATCTTTTAGTCATGCTGATCCATTTGCATCATCAGCTGCAGACAGTGAAAGAACTCAACCAGTCACTGGTGGAGGTTTCTTCACAGAGTCATTTGCATCATTTGATACAGCATTTGGTAACTTTGAGACCAAGGATGATAATGTGGAGAAACAAAAAAGCAGTGAATCTTCAAGTGATCCCTTTGCACCATCAGGTGGCACCCAAGAAAAGGACAACGTTTATGAAAATGTGGAGATTTTTGCTTCAGAAACCAATTTTGAGACAGCATTTTCTTCAGAGCCATTTTCCGTGTCAAAGGAAAGCACTGATGTTGTTTCAGATGTCAGTGAAGTTGCCGCAGATGAAAAACCCTTTGACAAAAAAAGTCAGTCGGTTGCAAACACTGCTGTGGGTTTCTCATGGGATAATGCATTCACAGAGGTGGAAAACAAATCGAAACCAGATGCAACACAGAGTTCTGCCTCATCTGAGCAACAGTTTTCATGGGCAGAAGATTTTGCTCCAGATGATGGAGATATTAAAGTTAAAACAGATCCAAATACTGCAGCATCATTTTCTTGGGACGATGCTTTTGGAGGGGCCGCTCCAGCATATAAAGAATCTACATGGGATGATGCTTTTGGTGGAAAAACAAAAGACAGCAGTAACTCTCTGTTTGACTCATTGCCATTTGGTGATGCGTTTACATCATCAACAGAAGATTCATCTGGTAATAAGCAGAGAGGTTCTGAAGATAATCTGCAATCAGTGCCAGAGTCAACTATTCCTGATAATTCTTCATTTTTCGATGATTCATCATTTGCTCCTCCCTCATCTTCTCAAAGTAATGAAGGTAATGCAGATGATTTAGCTGATGAAAAAATCAAGGAAGATCGTGCATTTTCAAACGACCCATTCGAAGAGTTCAACATTGGCATGCAGCCTGTGGCAGATCTCAAGAAGATTGCACCAGAGGAGAATACTATTAATTTTGAGTCAGAAATAAACACTCCTGATCAGGATTCTGCTGCAAAGAAAGTTGTATCAAACATAGGATCTTTTGAAATAAATCCAAAAGAAACAGTTGTTGCTGTGGGCACGAGTGAAACAATAATACAGTTAAATAATCAAGTTCCTGAGTCTGTTATTGAAGGTAACTCATCAGAAGAAGGTGATGATGATCGAATGAATGAGGAAAAACCATCCGACCTCCAGGTTCAAGAGGCAAAGCTATCACTATCTCAGAGGCCTATTTCACCAAGCTCACCACCCCCTCTTCCACCACGCCCTGTTGTCTCAGCACCCCCACTCCCAGCCAGACCACCGAGCTCCAATTCTACAGGAATATCTCCCATGATCCCTTGCGTGTCCACAGGGTCCCCAACACCAAACTCTCCACAACAAGTAAAGACAGGAAGTGCTAAGAAAAAGCCACCTCCGCCTCCACCAAGAGTGGATTTAAATGAACAATCTTCAGCAGATCCTTCCAATCAGAAAGGAGCTTTTCCTGATCCTTTTGGTTCAGATTTGTTTGATAATAAATTTGACAAGGGCATGGAGACAGCTGGACAAGAGAGTTCTGACTGGATGGCCTCATGGCCAAGTGCACCAGAACTAACCCCGAAAGAGACAACTAAAGACCCATTCAATGACAGCTTTTTTACAGACTTTGATTTCCCACAAAATACAGCACATAACACATCATCCAAAGATAACTTGGATCCCTTTGCAACAACAGATCCAACTTCTGAGCCTTTTCCATCAGACTTTGGAAATGAGGACTTGTTTGCAGCATTTACACCTGCAAAAGTGGAGGCTGCTTTTGACAATGGGGATCCATTTCAAAATGATATGTCCAATTCCTTTGCAGCATTTACATCAGATGATCCCTTTAGTGATATCAGTGATCCATTTGCCGACAGAGGAATTTTAAGTGATGATCCATTTGCTGACAGTCCCAGTAAACTTCAAGCTGGTGAATCTCTGACTCTAAATGAGGTTTGTATTGTACAACTACTGTTGATTAACATCCCTGCGAGTAA